TGCTGTACTATGGCTTGGTAATCGAGGGTATGTGCCTATATTAATTGAACTTAATTCTATCCACCATTTCTTTCAAGTTACAAGGAGCGATCTCATTATTTAATCTCCATTATCTCTTAGTGTTTTGTTAAGAAGATTACTTTGTTTGTTGCTGCAGGAATACCTTGGGTTTTTGTCAAGGACAAGATTAAGAAAGACTTCACTTCTGTCCAAATGGCAGCATGGAAGGTGCAAAACATAAATGCAAACCAGTGCTTTATATTTGACATGTACGCTGATAACGCAGCAAGAGCATGCAGAGAACTAATTAAAATAATGATTTTTTGCGAGTTACAGGTCGGGCCTATGGTTGCTTGGGTGAATAACCAGTTCGTGCCTTTGCAACTCCGAGTTATATTCCAATGCTTTGTTGGTCTGTGCTGGTATATATGCCCTCAGTTCACTCTGATCGATCCTTCAGATTTATTCAATCTCGACCATGTTAAATAAGCTAATTCTAAGTACTAACTTATTAATTTTCTACCTCAAATACAATTTCTTAGACTCCATGCCTTGGCCAGCATATTTTTATCTTGCAATGATAATGTTCAAATCTAGGTGCAGTTGCTGTGGCAGTGTTGGGTTTTTGCAATTTGTTTAGCTAATATTATAGTAATGACCTCTTTAATTTATCTGTTTGCTGACTGCAGGACAATCTTTTTGAATCTCAAAGCACGTTCAGCTGCGATCAAGGACTCATAGAATGGAGTGACCTTCTTCTCCTCTAGATTTCCCTTCTGGTTTTTTAGCGCAATACTCCATCTTGTAGGGAAAGAAAATGCCAAGATATGGAATTTCAATCGTATAATAATAGCTTGTATTCATGTAGTCGAGCTTTTATAGACTGTTGGTTTGTTTAACTTCTCGCTTGGGAAGGTCTCTGATTCTCAGTAGAACTCCCTGGATTTTGTACTCTCTATGTATTGTATTCTACAGTCCATCGTTTTTATGTGTGAATCTCCCTGCATTTCTGAGTTTAGAGGATGCTATTTTTCATAAAATTAATATGGTAAGTAGCATATGCTAGTACGTAAGTTTAATTAGAAAAATATATAAAAAAAATAGCATAATAATTACTATTTTCGTTAGTAACTAACTAACAAGAGTTTTACAAGACAAAAAACTGTATATCATTGTTTAATAAAAGAAAAACAAATGGTTCTTTATCTTCTTCTTCTTTTTCTTCTATAAAACTACAGGCTTTCTTTGAAACCTCGTTCAGGACAAAAAAAGAAAAAAGAGGATGTGTGTTATCAGACAATCCATAGGTCAGATAACTGCAAGTCGTCACAAATAATATTGACTGTTGGGTGAACATAGTAATCGACAAACCATCTCATCCAGACTGACGGAATGCATGCATTCTTAAATGATAAATGAATACAAGACAGGATCACTGAACGTAAGTATCAAACAATTACGTTCGAACAAAACAAAAAAGCAAAAGGATCTCTCACTATTTCAAGAAAAAGACATTGATTTAATCTCACAGCGCGGACCGTTAGGTGACACCACATAGATCCTGTTAAAAATTACGTTCACTTTCCATAATATAGTAATGGATTGAGAAGTTTATTGAGATAAATCATGAAATTTTATTGGAATAATTTTGAAGACTGGTTTGTGAAAGAATTATTGTAATTTAATAGCTCACCTGAAGTTTTAAAATATAATTTATATTATTTTTTAATATATTTTTTAAATAAAAATTATTTAAATTTAAAATTTGTATATATTTTTATTATTTTTATTAAATAAATAAAAATAATAAAATTTAAATTTATGATCATTTTATCATTAAAATTCTATAACATGTCAATGAATCAATGTAATCAAAAAATTTAAATTTTTAAATATAATTTATATTATTTTTAATATAGTTTTTTTTTTTTGGTTATCATCCGTTATAAATGTAAATATAAATAAAATAATTTGTAGCTACAATTCTTTAATATTCAAAAATGGGTAGCCAAAAGTTAACTAGAAGATCTTTCTAGCATGGTTTAATATGATCTTTATTTTTAAATCCATAGCACCGCTTGTGGAAAATTGAGGAATATTAAACTTGAAGGGAGCTGGACCCACAAAAATTGGTCAACAAATAGTACTAGGTTAAAAAAAAATGGAGAAGCAGTTCCTCACACAATTTTTTGTTCTTCCAGAAACAAAACATTTAAGACGCACTTCTAACTTCTAAGATTTATAACTGTACATTTTAGCTTGTTTTACAGTATAGCATAATTATAGTTGTTTTTAAAATAATTTTTTATATTAAAATATATATTAATATTTTTTTTAAAAAAAATTATTTTTAATATTAGTACATCAAAATAATTTAAAAACACTTAAAACATATTAATTTGAAGTAAATAAAAAAATAAGAAAAAGTTAATTTTTTAAAAAACATTTTATGATTTTAAAATTCAAAATATAAGTAAATGCATACATTATAACTTTTTTATCCTAATTCTTAAAATATTTAAAAAAATACTAAAAATTGTATTTTTAAAAAACCTCTATCCATTTTTTTATAAAATTTGGGTATATATTTCATAAAAACTTTTATGGTTTTAGATTTTTTGCATATTTTCTTTTGCTTTTGAGGAGAGAAAAATAAGATGAAAAAAATCGAGTGAAGAAAAAATAACAACAACATCCATGTTTTCTTTTATAATAACTCATTTATTTTATCTATTTTTTTCATTCTCTTGATTTTCTTAAATCAAAATTATATAAATAATATTGTTTATATTCACATATGATATGTTATTTATTAGTTTAGATTCTGGTCATCTCAGCCAAAAAGTTATGACCTGATTTTTTTTTATCTTAAAATTTTATTTGTTTTATATTATTTTTAATTTCTAAACATCCATTAAATATCTTAGAATTAAAAAGACCCTTAAATCAGGAAGAAATATTAAACCAAAAAGAAAAAATCTTCTTAAACTATTGGGAAGATAAACCCATTAAAATTAAGATCAATTTTTTTTATTATTGAAATGGAGTAAATTGACAACAACTTTATATATATATATATATATAAATTCCTCTAATCTCTCAAATAATCAAGATATAGAAACCTTAAACAAATGAAATTTAGAATCAAACATACATTACAAAAATAATAGAGACAAAAAAACTCATACAAGGATTTTCACATGGAAATGAAAAGGACCCTGTTTGGTTTTTTTTTTAATCATCCCTTTTAAAAAAATTATTTTCATACTATAAATTTAAATCCTATTTTATTAAATTAATCTCTAATTCAATTTAATATTTTATCAAACAATCTGAATTTGCTAGAATACGTAAAGAAAAAGTCTCAATACATAATAAAATAATACCAACACACCATGCCATAATAAAATTATAAAAAAAATAAAGTGAATAAATTAAAAATGACATTATTAATTAAATAATGTCTTCCATAATGAACTTAACATCGAAAATCGAGTCACACTATGGATTGCAGCCGCCAACCACGGCCACCACGAACTAGAACCACTACCAGCACCATTGACAAACCATTACAACCCTCGCACATCGACCACCATCAGCAACACGAATCATTATCAAACACGTGTTTTTATCTCGGACACTGGCGGAGGCCTAAGAGGCAGAAAGGGCGCCCTCACCACAGCTGGGCCTAACAAATTTACTAGGCTTGGGTATATGTTTTGGATCCAAAAAGCTATATCGTACCTTGAGTTGTACTGAATTTTTCCTCCCTCATTTTGCTGGTGGCTCTTTTTTTTTTTCTAATTATTTTTTTATATTTCCTGATAACTTCATCAAATTTCATTAAATTGAAAATAAATAGGATGCATTGTCATGTACTGTAGCCCATACAAAAATAGAAGCATATTTTTATTCTATTTTATACAAATATTTTTTTATTATGAATTTGAATTTATAATTATTTCTTTTTTTGCATAAACACAAATAAACATATATTTATCATGAAAAATGTTCACATTCGCTCTCCTCCCTTGAGAGAAGGCTCGTTCGCAACTGATCAAAGCCAGGGGGGGCATTTTATGGGGTTAAATAGATTATTGGTTGCTGGGCTAAGAATTAAAGCTATGTTTGGCATGACTTATAAAAGTAATTTTCCATTTTGAATTATAATTTAAAAAATATTTTTAAAAAGAAATTAAAATTACAATGATTTTAAGCTAGAAGTGTGTTTGTTCAATTTAACTTAAAATAAATTTTTGAAAAAATATATATATATCAGAATTTATGAATTAAAATTTAAGAATTTTATTTTTTATTAAAATCTAGAGTTAAATTCGAGTTTATAACAAACTTTTAATTTGTTGCATTTTCTAGATGCTCCTTGTTATATAACTGATTATAGTCATAATTAAAATTACAATGATTTTAAGCTAGAAGTGTGTTTGTTCAATTTAACTTAAAATAACTTTTTGAATATATATATATCAGAATTTATGAATTAAAATTTAAGAATTTTATTTTTTATTAAAATCGAGATTTAAATTCAAGTTTATAACAAACTTTTAACTTGTTGCATTTTCTAAATGCTCCTTGTTATATAACTGATTATAGTCATAATTAAAATTACATGGTTAATTAGGCCAACAAATTAAAAGAGACAGCATGTATATATTGCTCTTAAGCACGGACATTATTCAGTCTTGATTTCTTTGGGAGATCAGTAATCAGTGTTAAAATTAAAATGTATGCAGAGCACTCCTATAGCCAACGGATCCATTTTGAAAAGCGCCTGAGCCATACGTAATAGCTTGAAAACAAAATGACATATAACACCGACTACATGAGCAGTTCATGAGCATATAGAGATTATGAGTGCACAAACACATGATTCGCACCCAGTCGAGCCATACCATTTAGTTTTTAATTATACATAAGCATGAAAATACTTATCAAATCACGTAGAAGCCACATGCATGCATGATGTAAGAAATCAAACAGTCAAAAGAATGAAGAACACCTTGAATAGCAAAAGGAAAAACAAACAGACATGTATTTAGTAACAGTGATTAAACAAGGGCTCAGCTACTTACATTCTCTATCCCCCGTGCGTACTGCAAATATGCATGTCTAATTAATACATGCTCGATAATGTGGAGATGCTAGCCCTATCTGAGATTATATTAAACAACAAACAAGCTCAGGAACAGGGTCATTTAGAATCTGACACGACCACACACGCCTCCACTGAGAGACGGACGAAGCTTTTGCGCTTGCTCCATTGATTTCTGGTTCATCTCACTTCTGCGACGGACTCGCCGTTTCCAAACAGACCCGGCAACATATTCACAATCTTGCCCTTGATGGTTACGTGGACTCGAATCTATTTCCCAATCAGATCCCGCCACGTACAAACGCCAGTATACTTCTACATCTGGATCCACCTGGCCAGCTGGCAAGGATTAACAATCCCGGGAATGTGGGCCCCTTCACTCTTTAAAATGCTTGCCACCTCAGCGTAACTTTTGTGTTCCTTCTTCTTTCCCGGCTCTCCTCTCTTCGAGCACTCCACCGAGCCGCCAGCTAGAGACATGACTTCTGCTCGAGCTGGATCGAACTTCTGCCCAAGAAGGGTGCCTTCAGTCAAGAACTCATACGCCATGTAGCCGGCTAGTAGCCGATTAGAGGAAATCGGCTCGTCAAGATTTGAAGCTGGTTGAGCCGAAGCCGATTTCGGCTTCATTGAATAAGACAGTGCCTCTCTCTCTTTGCGCTTCTTTGAGGCGCCAGGTGTTAAAGTCCTACGTGAGTGATAACTCATCTTTTGAAGGATTAAACCGTTAAATTGCAGTTAATTCTGGGCCAAAAGAGTCAGACCAAGAATTTGGAGTTTTATTTTTGGGACGTAGGTGTCAAATCATTTTCTTGACAAGGGAGAGAAGGAAAAGGTCCAAAACGGGGTCGAGAAGGAGGGAGACTCAATCGCTGGCGAGGTTCAAAGAGGCAAGCAAGTTCAAGGATAAAAAGGTAAAATAACAAAAACAGTTTTAAAATCAATTCTTGATACACGAGAGAGTTGGAGTTAGGTAGAGGTATTGAAACGAACGGAACCAGATCTAGAACACGGATGAGTGTGTGGTCGGCGATTTTAATAAAGGCGGCGCGTGAAGAAAAAAGGTGTAGATTGGAAAAGAGAGGAGCGAGGGGAAAGGATTTGTAGAAGGAGAGACAAGGGAAACTTGTCCTTCTGCTTCTACGGTGCTATTTATAAAACAATCTAGTTTTTCAAAAATCTCTACTCATAGAATGACAAAAATACCCCATTACTTAGTTGAGAATTCGAGGCAATCCACACTTTTATGGTTAATTACATTTACACCATCCCTATAGTATATTGTTATGATTATTTGGATCATCCAAGTATTAATTTTGTGCATTGAGTCCTTTTACCATTTACTCTGTTCATAACTTAACTTTTTGTCCAAGACCTCACTGGCAAGGGTTGGCAGACCGCTTAACTTAATTGATTTGATCTTTTATTTCTAAAATCAAAATCCAATAAAAAAATATTTAAAGTAATTTGAAATAAAGCAAAGGGAAAAAGTTAAGAAAAACCATTAAAAATTTAAAACCAAAAATGAATAGAATATATATATTAATTTTATTTTTATTAAATCAGGTTTATATTAAACTCATGTGTGGTTGCTATTCACCACTCATTTATTAATTACTAATATCATTTTCCTTGATTTTTATTTTATTATTTTATATGTGGTTATCATCTTTTTCTTGATATTATTTAGAGATCAAAGAGCTTAAATAATATAGATATGTTTATGAATATGCTAATTATTATTTTTTAATAGAAAATATATTAAAATAATATATTTTTATATTTTTTAAAATTATTTTTAACATTTACATATCAAAACAACTAAAGAAATATGAAATTATTAATTATAAAAAAAATATTTTATTTTCTTGGAAACCCAATTACTACCAAATAGAAGTATCGGGCACGTGTTAAGAATCTAGTGGGTTAAGAGAAAGAAGAGGACTGGCTGACCCACTATATTTTTTTACAATTGTTTAATATGACCGACATAAATGGTAAAGGACTCAATGCTTCAAATTAGTGGTATAATGACTCGATTGATCACATAAGACAGCATCGGGATGATGTGTGTAATTAACACTGATGCCTGTGATGAGCTTTTGAGGAGGAATCGGAATTACAGTTATGCCCTTAAGCGCTTCCAGAAATTTTCCAGCCACGGATGGTCAAGGAGGGAACGACGTCGGCGATCAGCTTTTATGTATATTATTTTATCGTATTTATACATCAAAGGTATCCATACCAATATACCATACTTAAATACATGTTGCATAGCATATAGCCATACATAACTGTTTTGAGAGATTTAAGGCCACGCTGATTTTTCTCGAAGCTCTCTAGTCTGTGATTAAAGCACAGTCCATCCAGTCAATGGTTGGTTGATTAAAATAAAGAAACTGAAAAAACTAGCCTTCGTTGATTTCTAGGCACCGTTTGTTTGTGCGCAGCCGTGTTTTTTTATTTTTGGTGATTTTTTTTCTTTTCAAATTTTCTTTTGTTTTTTATTAAAATAATACATTTGATTTCAAAAAAAAAAATTTAAAAAATTAAAAATTATTATTTTAATTTATTTTTAAATAAAAGTATTTTCAAATAAAAAATATAGAGGAAGCATAAACCTTTGGGGAAAAAGTAAAATTTACCCGACATTAAACGTGGATTGGTTTTCTTAATTCTGGACAGTACCTGCCTTTGGATCGTGGAATCTTGATTCAGAGCAGGCCTTAAGGAGGCGACACTGTGCCGGTGCCAGAGGATCCAGGCCGACACAATCCACGCAGCCCACAATTTGACATTGAGTTTGAACTGAACTATGAGCCTAATTATGAAATCGATAAAACCACGCTAAAATATGGGCAGGTACTCCCAATCTTTTTTGAAAGCTCACCTGAGCGATTTTAAAGTTTCCGGTGATTGTTTTTTATTAGATTTATTTTTTGTTAAAAAAATAGTTAAATCAGTTTTTTTAAAAAAATTAAAATCGATTTATACTTGAGTCATTCAAAAAGTTATCGCAAATGCTAAACATATCTGATTATAATTCTGTTTTTGTTTATTTTATAATATTTTTTTATTTTATAATAACTAATAACTACCTATAAAATTATAATAATTACCTATAAAATTAAAAAATTAGCTATAAAAATAATTAGATAAAATAGCTTCGACCTTGTTAACTTTATTAACTGATAATGAGAAAACGAAATCCGGATAAATACCAATGCTGATTACAGGCAAGAGAATAGCAATCAAAACAAATAATTCTTGTGGTCCCATCATTTGAGCCTCCAATAATTACATATCCAGTTTGATCTATGGACGAATATACAAGCACATCTTTCATACTTATTTAAGTAATAGTAATGAAATTCCCCACTCTCATGCTACATGATAACTAAGATTTCTAGAAGAAGATATCTTTCGTTGGTTTCATTTGGCTCCTTTATGAAATATAAAAAAAATTCTAGCTATAAAACGCGAGGAAAAAAAAAAACTCATAACATCTATGTTAACTCTTTTTTTATCTTAATGTATTCAAAACAATGAGTTTTAAAGTTCTACGTGAGTGATAACTCATCTTTTGAAAAATTAAACCGTTAAATTGCAGTTAATTCTGGGCCAAAAGAGTCAAACCAAAAATTTGAAGTTTTATTTTTAGGACGTAGGTGTTAAATCATTCCCTCTAGATGGGGAGATCACGGGTTGAAATATGATTAGAACCCTTATATGTCTTGAATTTATATTGAATGATGTCAATATAAATTTCTAACATTTTCTGATTTTTTTATAATTGACAATTAAAAGGAAATATTTTATCAATTTTTGTTATATCTATCGCAGCCGTTGAAGCAGCTATCGAGCCTGCTATAGTTTCGTCAATTTATCGTAACAAAAAATCAATCCATATTAATTAATTGAATTTGTTGAATAAATAATATTAATCATATAAAATATTTAGATTTATTAATTTGAATTGACATATATAATACATAGCGTATCTAATAATGTTTATTTCCGGTGGGCCCTTCTTCCCCTAATTCTTTCCATTCTAATGACGAATAATCTAGAATAATTCACAAATCCAGATTGACTAATAGTTCTCGGATAGCACCGACTCCAATAGAAATTTCTCGATTTCGAAATGTATCGAACCCTTGGGTAGTAAAAAAAAACGGGAATTGAGACAGTTAAATTTTACTAAAATAGTGCTGAAGTCTTATAAAATAAAGCAAACATTATAAAATATAAGATGAGATATGAACCATAATTTATAATATTTGATATTTGAATGAAATCAATTAAATTAAAATTAATTTTAAAATTGATTCAAATCAACTGATTTCGGTTTAATTATTTTAAAACAAAAACCACTTTAATCTAACATGTTTCGGTTTAACTTGATTTTTTTAATTTGGCTCGATTTTAGTAAAAAAAATAAGTGAAATGTTTATAAGAATATCCTAATTATGCAATTTCTTTATTCAATATATTTTAGATTTTTGGATAATGTTTTTATTGGTTATAATAATAATTGATCTTTTTCTAAATATAGAATTGTACTCCATGCATGTTTTATTATTATTATTATTATTATTATTATTATTATTATTATTATTTATCAAGTAGTAACAAGTCCAAAGTTTTTGCAGAGCTTGGCAACCTAGCAGATTTAAATTATATAGAAGTTTATCCGATATTATTTAATCAACTTGTGATTAAAAAAAAAATGATTGATGTCAGTTTCACAACTAAGTTTAAATAAACATTAAAAAAAATATTAAATTCAAATTTAATATATAATAAGCATCGAAATTTGCAGATGTCGCAACATCACAGTCCTTTAATTTCAATTTGAATTTTTAAGTAGGGTTTAAGAATTTCAATCCTTATCACGAAAAGCTATAATTTTCTTTATTTTACAGTTTTTTTTTTTCAAGTGTGTTCGTTAAAACATTTTCTTGACATACATGTTTATGTAAAGGCAATTCGGATTGGGCCTCGGGCTATTTTAAAGGCCCAAGAATTGGTCTTTGTACCTTTTAACAGGCTGAAGTCTGAACGAGAACAATTAAAATCTGGGCTGGTCTATAAAGGGATGATAAATATAATAAGCAACGGATTAAACGCCTTTAATAGAGAGGCCCTTGGGTTGATGTCAAATCATAATGAGAAGAAAATGGATCCTGCATTTAACGTACACGTGGCATTTTTAATTTTTAATTTTTTTGTCATTGCCGTCTAACTTTCCGTCTCGTATTTAGGACAATCCTGTGATGTATAAGAATTTATCATTCCAGGTCAATAAAAAAAAATTAATATATTTTTAAATAATATTGATTATAAATTTTTGTGGATAGTGAAATAAAATTTAAAAAAATTAAATTTTATTTAAAAAATTAATAAATATGATATTGATAACAAATATTATTTAATAGAAAAATTTACTTTATGCTATAATGTTTAAATCAAAATATCATTGATAAAGATATAATAATTACAATTAAAAATTGATTATTGAAAAGTTAAGTTAAACCACTTATAATTTTTTTAATATTTAAAAAATTATAACAGATTGTTAGACATTGTACTTAATTTTTAAATATTTAATTAATAATAAAATTATTTATATATTTATTTAATCCTATTTTATTTATAAATATGATTTATATTTAGACCAACTTATTAGAGAATCTAATGAGTCACACATTTAAGAATCATTAATCATAAATTAAAATAAAATAATTAATTAGATATAACTTAATTATAAATAAGTTGTAGAAACTTATCATCAAAGTGTAATTTATACAAGAAAATATAATTTTAGGTTTAGAAAATTCAAGTAGAAATTTAATTGAATAATTTTTTAAAATTATATTAAAATAATATATATGATATTATTTCAGAAGCACAATTTAATATTTTTTTATTTATATAGTTTTTAGATCTCTATAAATAGGATATCATAATAGAATATCATGTCTTTTATTTTCTTAATAATAAATAGAAAATAGAAGCTACAAAAGTTACAGGATACCTAAAAAAACAAAAAGAAAAATGTTAGTATTTAAAAGAAAAATGTTAGTATTTAAAAGTATAGCAATCATTCTATTCTAAAAAAATTTATAAGATTTTTCAT